AGCCTCTAAGGAATCATCTGTTTCATGGTTTTTCTCAGCTGTAAGTGGCTTGCGTGTGTTTTGTTTTGATCCTTAGGGAGTTTGTGGCGCAGCAAACCTCCTGATACCATGCAAACGAGAAGATGACCCTAAACCCTAAACCGTGCAAAAGAGAAGATGATTTGCAAACCCGAAGGGCTCGTTCAGCGACGGTTTCCGCGGAGGGTTTGCACGAACTTATCTACGAACCCTAAACCCGAAGCCCTAAACCCTAAACCCTAAAACCTAACCCTAAACCCTAAACCCTAAACCCTAAACCCTAAACCCTAAACCCTAAACCTTAACTTAACCACGAACACTGAATCTTAAAGCCCCAGCCCTGAAGTCTAAACCCGAAGGCCCACTTCCCTGATCAGCGCTAGATACTCTTACCTTGTACCACGGAACCCAAAGGCTCCGTGTACCTTTATAGTCCATACTTAGGCCTGAAAGGGGTCCCACGGTTTAGGGTTTAGGGTTTAGGGTTTAGGTCCCTATATAGGTACTTTTAAACCTATACGTAAGTTTCTACTATAAAGGTACATGGAGCCCTTGAGGGACACAAACTCTACACCCAACAAGTTCTGACCCAAAAGCCTGAGCCCCAACTGTGCTTAGCCCAGAAGCTGCTCGGAATGGTAATCTTAGGTTTTCAGATTTAATTTCCAGATTTAAGATTTAGGATTTAAATTTAGATATGATAATCTCAGGTGTGGTGGTGTTCCCCCCGGAGGGCGAGGAGAATCCCCCTGTCAGTGCGTGTCGAAGAAACATGCGCCAGGGCTGCACACGGCAGTGTCCAACTATTTGTTTGTGCAATTCCGAGCCAGTTAGGCCTCAAGCGTTTCTATGGGTTTCTACCCTAATCTCTGAACCCACATCCGAGAACCATCACATACGTTTTTTTGTAGTGTTTGGGCAGCAGAACCCTTCAGGGTATTGCATTTGGGGTCTACATCCCCATTATTCGGATACTTGGTTCCTATGGATCGACAAACATGAAGATAAAACTTCAGTCACAGGGTCCTGATGGAGGCCTGTGACTCTTCGCAACCCCACCAACCCTGAACCGTGAAGCTAAACCCTTAATTGCATCTTAAAAGCTTTCGCCGAACCCAGGCAGAACCAGAAAACAACCTCTGTAAACCTTGCTGCAGTACCCTAAAAACTAGAACTTGATGGGTTCCTGTTGTTATAGAACATGTGGCATTGTCACGGCCATACTCCCCCAAAGCCCTAAACCCTCAACCCTAAACCCCTATAGCCCTCAACCCTTAAACCCTAGCCCTGAACCGAGGCCCAAGCCGAAACCTTAAACTTGACTCGTAGCTTCAGTGAGGCTTGTTTCCTGAACCCTAAACAACCAACCCCAACAAGTCGAAGCTTAGGGTTTAGGGTTTAGGGTTTAGGGGTTTAGGGTTTAGGGTTTAGGGTTTAGGGTTTAGGGTTTAGGGTTTAGGGGTTTAGGGTTTAGGGTTTTCTTGAAACAGGGTGGCTTACAGGACACTACCTCAGAAGCCAGAAAACGTGTGGTCGAGTTTCCGCAACTGGAAGGATTTTCAGATTCATTTCTGTTCTTGGGAGGGTTGTTAGAAGGTCTAGTTTCTACGGATCTACAAGACAATATATTTACACTGTGCTTGTGCAGGGGACAGAAACAAAACTAGCCAAGGGACAGAATCGTATATGCAGGCGGCTGTGCTTCCAGCCCTACATCTAAGCAACCCGCCCCATCCGTCGAGCCGCATTAGCGGAGCAGAGGCCGTATGGGGAACATGTGCACGAACCCTTGAAATCCAGATCCTGAATTCATCAACTCTAAACATATAATTTCAGAATTCTCAGACTCTTCGGATTTGTAAAGCTGCACCGTCCACCCACCCTTTGCAGCAAGCTTGGGTCCAGGTGCTTCCTGTGTCCGCGGGAATGAGTCAGCCCAGCGCCCTCATGAAGATGCGTGTAAGCATCTCGCAAGAAGTCTAACCTAAACCCTAAGCCATAATGTGTGGGCACTGCTGGGCTCATGCCAACAGTCAGCTCCTAAATTGTTCTGGTAGACCAGTTGCGGGCAGCCATTGCACCGTCATGGGACATGCGCTGATAACAATCGCACTTTCGAAGAACCAACGAACCAATGCTTGTAGGAGCTACAGGTGGAGGGACGTGAATCTCCACAGAACTGGGATTTTGAAGTTGGCAAGTAGCTCATTACCAGGCTTCCGTGGTTGTTGGCTGCGAAGTGCCGGTTTCTGGGCTCAGCCTACGGTTCAAGGTTTTCTGCTAGGGTGTATAGGGTGGAGGGTAGGCGAGGTGATGAAGGTTTCAATTTCAGGGTTCCGAGATAAAGATATTGATGCCTTCGTCCTTATATAGTGTACCTACCTATCAGCGGATCACTACGGTTTGCAGATCAAGCATTTTGCCTCATAGTGTCACAGCACGCACGGTTTACCAGCAATTCTTCGTAAGTTTCTGTTTGCAGATTATGCTGACATTGGGCCAATTGTTCAGTTCAGCTTTCCGGTGCATAGTATATGTGGCGCACACTTCAGATCATCTCAGGATTGCTCCTGCCGTTTTCTTTTACGCAGGCCTGTCAAAAAAACACCCCGAGTTTTGAATGCCGCAAAATACGTCCTGCTGCGCACTACAGATGTCCACCAGCAAGCGCTTGAACTCCTGCAGTGCATTTAGCTTAGTCATTTTGTGCCGTCATCCCCTGCCACTGCACCCCAATCAATAGTAAGTACATCCACATCCGCATCTCAGGAACTTTGTCTTTGACTGTCCGCTTAGCACTTTCCTGGCATGTCACAGGCTTCCCCAGAAGCCCGCGCACCTACAGGATTAGGTGCAGGGGCTTTGTAAGGGCCCGTCTACAAGTGTAGAACCACCACGGTGTGATACCCTGTTGCATATACCTCAACCTACCCTACCCTTGTCAAAGAGCTCTTTCAGCTTCAATGTTGTAGCTTCTATACTCCTGTTAAAAGGTATGGTCCTAGCATGCAGCAATCTTGGATACCCCAACCCCACAAGGTCGCAAAACCGTCAACCCGAAGGCGTGGTGAACACCCCCAAAGTCAGGGTTTAGGGTTTAGGGTTTAGGGTTTAGGGTTTAGGGTTTAGTCCCAAAAC